TATATTACAATTATACATTACAGTTATTCACCAAAACATTCTCACCTTCCAAAACCAGCAGTTATAAACCGACCCACCTTAGCTCCAAAACAATACTTCACTCCACCAGAGATTCTATTCACAAGTGCCGTCAAAGGCCTTGTAAATGGAGGGGTTCTTGCAAATTGCAACGTCCAGAGAGCATTGGTTCGGGTACGTAACACCGTCACTGCCACACACAGGGAGGTAGTTGAACGGACAGGCTTCAGAACACTGGGGTTCCTGAGGCGATTCTGTGGGGAAATAAAAGAGGGAGTAAGGAGGAGGTTGGTGCTGGTGGGTTGTGGGTGTGGTTTTGAGTGTATTTGGGTGTATGTAGATATAAGTGTGGATAGATGTAGACTTTTATACATACACACAAACTAGATGATAATACACATGTTGATGTCTGTCTCTCTCTCTCTCTCTCTCTCTCTCTCTCTCTCTCTCTCTCTCTCTCTCTCTCTCTCTCTCTATATATATATATATATATATATATATGTATATATATATATATATATATATATGTATATATATATATATATATATATATATATATATATATATATATGTATATATGTATATATATATATATATATATATATATATATATATATATATATATATATATATATATATACATGAAGTTAACTGCTACATATTTTTTTTCCACATCACAAACAAATTATAATCAACAAGTTGCCCTAAATATCACCATTCGACAAACCATTCATTCTTCAAGGCACTGAAGACCTCCTACTCCTCAGCCACCACCCAACGCTCACCACAAGGACCGTCGAACTGCTTGAAGATGGAAGGGTCGTTGCAGCTGGCGATGTCGAGGGAACACTGGTTGGGGTACGTGACGCCGTCGCTGCCACAGACGGGAAGGAAGTTCAGGGGACAGACATCAGGGCACTGGGGTTGCTGGGGTGCTGAAGGAGGGGGGGGGGAGTGAATGTATGTAATGTAAATATTTTTTTTTTTTTGTTTGTTTGTTTTTTACTGTATATATATGTACACACAAGTATATATGTGAACACGTTATTACTAGTAGTAGTATTGTTTTCATTATTTTTATAATTGATGTTTTTGTCATCGTTATCGTTACTATTAATTTTATCTTCATCATCATTATACTAATATTGGTATCATTTCTATTACTGCTAATGTTACTACCACCACATCTACAGGTATTCTTATTTCCTTACCCCTCTCTTATCAACCATAAAGACATCAACAAAAATAACCAACAGTGATAAAGACCCACCAACGATAACAATTATCCCTTACCACACTCTCCATTGCTTATCTTCGTCAGAGCAGGATTATTGCAAGCGGCCACCCTAAGTGTGCAGTCGTTTGAGTACGTTTGCCCGTCACTACCACACACGGGGTCGTATATTTCGATGCAGTTTTGGGGGCAGGCCGGTGGGGGAAGGTATCCTGTGCTTGTAAATGTGGAATGGGGGAGAGGGGGATTTAGTTGTGGTTTAGTGTTTTTTTCTATTTATTATTCCTGTCTCTCTCTCTCTCTCTCTCTCTCTCTCTCTCTCTCTCTCTCTCTCTCTCTCTCTCTCTCTCTCTCTCTCTCTCTCTCTCTCTCTCTCTCTCTCTGATTTCTCACTCCCTTCTCTTCATCACTCTCTTTCCCTCTTTCATTCCCCTATTACTTCCTTCTCCCTCTCTCATCCCCCTTTCTCCTCATCCTCTCTCTCTCTTCCCCCTCTTTCGCTCCCTTTCTCATTTTCATTCTCTCTCCTCCCCATTGTCTCACTCCCTTTTCTCTCATTGCCACTCCCTCTTTCTCCACCTCCCTTAGTACACACGATTCGCACCGTTACTCACCTGTTGCCAGTTGACTCCTCGCCTCAGTTGCCATTGCCATCAAAACTGCTATTAACGTGTAAATCATTTTGTGTGTAGAACTGAAATCAGCCCAAGGATTCTGCAGTGTGACAGATTCGTAAATGCAAATGTAAATACAAATATATAAATATATGAGTGTGTGTGTGTGTGTGTGTGTATTTGTGTGTGTGTGTGTGTGTGTGTGTGTGTGTGTGTGTGTGTGTGTGTGTGTGTGTGTGTGTGTGTGTGTGTGTGTGTGTGTGTGTGTGTGCGTGCGTGCGTGTGTGGGTACTCGTTGTCCTGTATATGTGTAAAGATGTTAAATATTTCTAAAGCAAAAAAACAAATCCAATATCCCTTGCTTCATTACTAAGAAAATCATATAATCTGAAAATAAAAGCAAAGACAAGGTAAGGACGCCACAAATTCATAACCTTACCGACTCATCCCAATTAACTCATCGCTACAGTATTTTACAGCCAAGGACACGGTGGCCATCCATAGCGGTGTTTCCTCAAGCTAAATGAATATTCTAGAGAATGCGGACTTAGAACTTAAATGATATATGCAAAAGTTTTTTCTTAGAATACATTAGGTTAACCACACTTGCCGATTATTACAGATATTGGAATAT